ATATTATATATTAACTTTTTCTTTATATTATATTAAATTAATAAAATCAGTCCCATACACATTATTATGCAAATATTCTTCTAAAGAACATCAAGAATTATAAATCAATTATTAAAAATCACGAAAGATATAATTATAATTTTCATTCTATAATAATAGGTTTAATTTATAAAATAAAAAACAGAGATAATATTAGATAATATACTATGTAATAACGAAAGATATGATTACACGCATTAAGTTATCACGTTTTAACGGCAGTCAATTCTTTAACGCGCGTACCAAAATAAAATTTTGCGACGATATATACTCGCGCGAGATGACCGAATAACGTAGGTACATAACTCAATAACGTGAAATGCACCATATATTCCCTATTGCGATATATTCACGGCAAAAAAAAAATGTCGACGTTCTGTATTTAACGACATCCGACCTCGGTTCGCGCGATGAATCGAGCGGTCTGTGAGCCGGGATTGTCGTCCCGCGAACCGTAATGTACCGCTCGAAAAACGCGTCATTCATATATGGTATGCCATTGTTGTCAATCGCGGTGGCAGCGCGTATTGGTAAACCGCCACATTTTCTGCTTATTAATCGTAATATCGCGACGCATGCTCGCGATTAACTCGCCTATGCGTCCAGGGATGAATATGATTATCTGATTATACACTTCTCGGAATCTCAATTTAATATAATTTTAAAGCTTCAAATATATTTTTAAAGAATATATCCCTCTCGCTGTTCTATGTTAATGTTTTGTGATATTTTATATGGCGACCACCAACGATAAATTTTTTTTCTATCAGTGATATCGAGATGTTAGTAATTTTTACGATACGAAACGTCCAAGATGGAAAACTTGTCGCGAATGAAGCTTCAGAGTCGCGAATAAATAATGGAAAACAATTTGTCGTTTAATTCGGATTCAATTTTTATTTTAGATTTTATTTTATAAACATTTTATTTTTTACGCGTTGTTAAGATATCTAATAATAACAATAATATTAATAATAACATTTATAAAATTGCAACACAAATATAAAGATCTCCATTGACAACCTTGACAAAAGTATTTGCGATCAAAATTCTTATACAAGACAAACGCGCGGGCGACTAAAACCAAAGCTTTATTGGCATCTGGATGAATCCGCCCCTGAGCGCATCCTTTTGTAGCAATCGCGGTGATGCATCGCGCGGCCATATCATCTCCGATATACAAATATACATCGGGCTTATGTACGATACGTATGTACGATACATAATCGCGAGTCGCATATATAAGCGCGTGTGCGCGAGTGTAACGACGTTACCGAGCAGTATCTCTGTTACGCCTGGATTGCCGTGGACTGTGGCCGCGCTCACGCATCGCTTAACATAATCCCCCATCCGACCGGGGACTACATAGATTACGGAATGATACCTCCGAAACGCTCTGTACAATTATATCGGCGCGAGATTATATATGTATATTTCGAGGCTCGCGTGTTGCGTTCACGATCGTCGCTTCGCGAGCTTCCCGTGCGGGCATTTCCGGAAGCGGATCGAGATAGAACGGAGCGGTCAAGGTGTATCCTTTTGATATATCCAGAGATCGGTAATCCCTATGAAACAAATTCCGGTGAATCGTGTTACCGAAACGGAGCTGTTGTCCGCGCGCGAGAGAGAGGAAAATATCGGAATGCGCCGGCAGTCACCATCCGTTCTTTTGAACAAGATCGATGGTCCATCTGTGTAAGAAAGGAAGAGAGATATACAGAGACCAGGTTCGTATTGCTAAAAACATTTTTCAAAGAAATGATACACGCCGTTTATATTTAATTGTAAAAAAGCCTTCTTTCGTCTTATGGGTTGTGTTAAGAAGAGACTGTCAAAGTGAATTTTATTAAAGCCAAAATGTAACTTTGCGATTTACATCGCGCTTTCCCTGATTCGCAAGATATATAGCTAAACTTTTCAATTTTTCGCAAACACAAGTCTTGCCGCGAGACTTCTTAAGGTTGCGTAATACTTCGAAGTTTATAATGTCATTTTAAAACTTATCATATAATGCAAATATGTAATTAACAGTGTCTGTCTGTGCAGAAAATATCGTAATTTAAAATTGCTTCTCAAACATAATTTTGTTGAACGAACAAAGTTTATCATGTATGCGTAATGGGGAAAAAAAGAATATATATATAATTGAAATATATGAAATATTATAAATTTGCAAAATTTTAACTGGTTTTGTTTTAGAGCTATTAATAATGGCCGATAACTAGAATAGTAATTAGCATAAGGTACTGGTAAAACGCTGAGGTTTTGATATGTATAATGGCGTATGTAAAGCCTTATGAATGTGAAGAGCGGGAGGTAATTAACCACCGCGTGGAGACTTCCGGTTAGAGAGAAATGTTGCTGCTCAATATATGTATGTGCGCGCGTTCCTTTATATATAAAGTAATTTAATTTCACGCTCGTGTATTAATTCAGTTCTGATCCATTGTACCTGCGATAGAAATCGTGCGCTTGTAATTGTGTAAAACGATTCTCTCGCAGCAATAACCGAGCGAGACCATTTCGTTAACGGACGCACGCAATTATGGCGCCCAGATGAGAATCATAATTTTCATGTAATCAAAAGGAGTCGTATATAAATCGTGAATTATAATTTCAGCTTTTCTTTGAATCTATAAACGGCAGGGTGGTTATTCTATGCTGTAACTTTAATCGAATCAGTGCTGCATGCTATTTAATAGTGGCAGTGGAAGGCAGTATTGAGGTACGCTATACGAGGTAAAATGGAAAAATTTTATGGAACGTTTAATTAGCGAATAATAATGTTCCGACACATGTATGTCATAATTAAAAATTGCCAACAGTGTTTTAGCTTCGAAATATCTATATATATCTTTAAATAAGAGGAGAACATTTAATGAATTATATAATATTCATAAATTTTCATGAAGCAATAATATGTCGTCCACGATAAATCCGGATATTGGAAGTTGATATAAATTTTATTGGACAATAATATATGTCCTGATCTGCAATAAATTTTGTTTTGGTCCATAGGAAACTGACAATTTGCGCGTGATAAAATTTGTACAAAAGCAGCCATCCTATTTTCTTGTCTTTTATATTATTATCTAAAAAACTTATTTCTATAAAATGTCTATATTTTTTTATGTATGTATTACATTTACACGCGATATATATTTATTCATACATATACGATGTGATTCAATATTTAAATTCTAACGAAACATTTTATTTTTTAATTCACTCACAATTTTATTGAAGTTTCTCTATTGCATTTCTTTCAAAAATTTCCAACTTATTCTGCGACATATTTTTATTTTTTTTTCCGCAGAAAAGTCTCGATGATTCCTATGTTATCATCAAGCTTACTATTTCGAAGAGTCATGGCCACTCCCTCGCCATTTTTTACGTGCCATGGCATTAATCAAATTCCCCTTGCTCTCTGGAGAGATCTCTTAGACATTTCCTCATTGCGTGTAACATGTTGGTCTCAAGGTGTGCCGGTTTACACACCGAGAAAACGCATAATTCTTTTGTTTGACTTATGAATTGTTCTTCATGTTACGGAACAACGATCCTTGATTACAGACTTGAGATTACAGAATCAAAGTAATATTTCTCTAGTTAATTTTCATTAAACAAACATTCTTCATAATTTCCATCGTATACATTTCGTGAGACATGTACTGAATATTATGTATATGTTATATTTTAGAAAAATTATCTCGAAAAATCACAAAAACTATCATAAAAAATATGATAGGATATAATGAATTTATCCGAATCTATCATTTCTCCCGATAATTTATCCGAATACATTTCATTTTTTTTTTTAAATCATCTCGAATATTTTCAAATATATTCGGCGTCCAGTAATATTAATATTTAGGATTTATTAATATCACTACTCATCGTCATGTTGATATCAATCGCTCTTTCTAGCTACTCGTTTGAATTTTGAACCTTTGTGAGAAACGCTGATGAAAGCAAAGAGCGATAATCATTCGATCTTGCGCGCAAAAATTTCATACAGATTTCATAGAGAATTATACGACGTCCATAACAAGAATGGAACCTGTCGAGCACAGCCAGGAATTTCACCGTATTATCCTCCGCTTGAGGACCATTTAATAAGAATAAAATTACGTAATACCTTGCTGTCGTCGTGAAAATCTCTCAATCCGATTCGCGATGATCGTACCATTCGGCGAACAGTACATAAAGCGAAATCGGAGTCCGTTCCGGCTCGGAATATATTGGTGTCTGTCGATCGTAAACCAGTTATCCGTTTGCGAGCACAACTTCCTGTTCATCCACGTAACCACTCACATTCCGCGTACTCGCCGCGAATTCCGCAAAAAGCGCGTTCCGTGCAAAAGATACGCGATGATATATTCTAATAGGAACCGGAATTTCTCGGGTTCCTCGTCGTGTCGTCCACGACCCCACTTTAGATTGAACTTCTTTTCCTGCAGACGTCTTAATTCGCCGTCTGGGGTACGTAGGGGGGCATATAGGGCCCGGTGAGAATGTACTGCACCGCCACGACCATCAACTGCGGCGCACTCCATCTGATGATGTATGCGCTTCCTGAAACAGAAATGCATTTCGCGTGTTATTCTCGGCGCGCGTTATGCACGAGGCTTCTACGTGCGCAAATTTATGTATACGGGGTGTCTTCGCGAGATATCTCGCGATATATTTTACCTATGAAACTGTATCTTAAATTAATGTAGAGACAATTTCCTAAGAGATTATCGAGCTATCAATGGTCTTTTAATCAAAAGTATGTAAAAATTTATGGATTCTGGCGAGTTGAGCTTTAAAGCTGCTTACTTCAAGATATCGTCTTATTAAAAAGAAGAAAATGCGCGCAAAACCCGATAAGGATATCTTGCGAGCATACACCCTGTATATTTTAGATGATCCACCTGAGACTGCGACAATTCTTCTTCGCGCAGAGAGAAACGTGGGTGACTCGCTATGGAAATGTCGTTTCGACCGTTTAACATCCTCGCTTCTACATTCATTTTCGCCTATCCACTTTAAGTCGAGAAAACTCTCGAGCTTCTTGCGTCATTTTTCAAAACAGTATCTTCTTTATTGCGAATTCTCGTGCGACAGAAATGTTTCCGCTTTCCACGCTTCGATTTGAATTTCTGATCAGAGACTTCCTCCCCGTCACCATTGAGAATCACCAATATTCCTTATTGATCGTTCCATTTTTGCCATCCGCGTTTCAATATATATAACGACATCTTCAGAAAAATCTATAATTCTATGACTAAAATATCACAAAGACAGAGGAATTTTCTAGCATATCGCTACCGGCTGTTTGTCACATATTGACGCTAAAAAAATCAGAGTCAATATGGAATATTGAATATAACAATAATGATAAAATCGATATCTCTTCTTAGATTGAAATTTTCTTAATTATAAGAGAGTCCATATAACATAAAATTTACTCTGAAAGTGGTGATATTATTGTATAAACCGATAAAATCGTCAACCAAATATGCGGAAATATTAAGGTTCATTAGGTCGATTAGTCAGATATATTTACAAATTATAATGAATTATTCATATTTATTGGAAGTATCATTAGTTCTGTCGTGGGGTTAATAAGTCTCGTATGTGTCATCTATTTTCATTCGAAAACCGAACCAAAATGTCATCTACGCGAATCGTGTACTTGGAAAATATGTTGGCCGTAGAATACGTCGGTGTCACTCGTCGGTACGATTTGCATATCTACCTCTCTACATTCATTTACATGCCGGATGCAGAAAAGACCGTTCCTGCTACCGTCATCATAATATCATAACATTAACGCCGCGTGTATGACGTTAACGCTATTCAGAAAACATATATAATAACTTATCGCGGAATCAGTTGAAAGTGTACTGTAAAATGTATTTTCCAGACTTGTGAATCTCCCCTACGTTAATCTCCCGGTGACTGCAATCGGGCAGTAAAACAAGGAGTGCGATCGCTCGAAGATATATTATTAAGTTGCTAACTAATTTATACCGGGAACGTACTAGTAGAATCAATAGAGTGTTGCTAATAGCCCGCAGCACCAGAGGGAGTTTACGATTAATCAGATTAATCAGCTCGATATGTGTCGTTAATTAATCACGCGCTATATTCCGAATTAGATGCTTCTGACAGATACAGATTTATACTGACAAATAGAATAGCCTATATGAGGTTGTATTTTTAATTGACTATTAAATATTTATTTTCTAATTGAATTAACGATCCAATCCGACTTGCATCGAATGTTCCGCAAGTAGAGTAAATCAAACATTGAAGAATCTCGTTAAAGTACACGCTATAAATATTCACCTTAAATCACCCATATCTTGCTTAAACTCGTTACATTTCGTAAATTTGATTTACACCGCTTTTACAGAGTAAATCGCTCGCTTAATCTCTTAAATCTGACCGTTTTTACACAAAGCTCGTTATCTCGGTAATTACGTACAGGGAGGGTTAAACGGCGGCTAGAAATTGGTCGCGCGAAACTTTAAATCCCAGTTTAGAAATTTTACGGTCTATATTTTCGCGCGATAGCTTTCGACCGGGTTGGCGCCGCCGTTCGTGAGGGAAAACTATATGCATCCCGGCTCCCCCGTCGCTACGAACGAGAAGTGACGAGGGTGCGCGAAGCGGGGTTGAAGGCCTCTGGATAAGCGGGGGAGACCAGGAGTTTCTAACGGAACTTTTCGTCCCAAAATCCCTCGGGTGTGTCTCGAGTGCCATCCCTGATCGTGGCCCCAGTCGAGCGAAACTACAGCCGAGAGATCTCTTTGCTTTTTCGATAGACATGCGCCATCGGGATGCACCGATGCGTTCGTCGGGATATTGCGCAACGCCATCCGGGATTATCCGAAATGCTTTTCGAGTTTCAGACGTAACTCTCGCGCGATTAATCGTAAAGAATCGGTTAGAATCCTTTTGGCCATTTTCGGCTTTGAAGGGACTATTGTATGTATATCCTCGCGCGCACATGCGTCAATATCTTACACGTAAAATTTTACAAGAAGAAAAGTGGGGAAAAAAAAACAAATCAAAACATCATATTTGTTTCAAAATCAAATGTCTGATATTTTTAAATACGCTATTCATAAGTAGAACTGCTAAATTTTACAGACCTACGAGTACATGATGCATATTATAAGAAATAAAGATCACAACATTATACACACAGAAAAATACATACTATATACAAGTAAATATTACTTGTTTCAAGTATTTCATAAGTTCATATATCCGCAAATCTATCATAAGTTCATCATAAGCATCAAATTTATTCAAAATATATTTTGAATCTTAATAAATTTAATATTTCAATCAAGAATATTAAGTTATATAATTGAAAGAAATACATTAAATTTTTCTGATCTAATAAATTTTCTTACATCAAATTAACCATATCTGACTTTTCTTCAATAAAATTTTATAATATTCTTCAAAAGAAAATATTTACTTTTTTTGAGTACATGATAATGAGTATTTCTAAAATTTGTGACAAGTCTATTTTAAGACTATTATTAAGAAAATATTCTTTGTTAAAGATAACTGTTACTTAAAAGAAGTAAAGTAAACTGAGTAATAATTTTACTTAGCAATAGAATAATATTTTTCTGTGTGTATAAAAAAGCACATTTAATGATTCATAAAGTGCCGATTTATCACATGATTACATGTTCACATAACAATTTCAACTTTGGAGAATCGCTTCAAGTGGAAATAAAATAGCAAGTGATGCGTGAAATGTATCTTACACAATACCTATATCAGTTGTCTATACAATATCGACAAATGCTCCCCCGCAAATAATGTTTACATATTCATCCGCAAGCGGGAGAGAGAAAGAGAGTGTCGCATCTATTATCATATGCATCGTTCCCATTGTTACGATACCAAGTCAATAATGTAGTCGGGCTGTTCTTGAAAGCAACCTGCGCGCCACGTGGACAATCTCAAATTGATCCCGGAAAAAGGACGAAAGAGAGACGTTCCCCTCGGACGTTTCCATAAGATTTTATTTACGTTGCCGCCTGATTTATTGTCGATCCGGCGCGGCTCTCACGCATTCACGTTCGTGCGCGCGGCCAACCACTATATTTTCCATACGAATCGTATGGAAGTGCATACCGGGGAAATATATCGGTCGTTGCAACGCGCACCCCGTAGACGCAATGGGAGGGAATGGGATACTACCGCCTACAGCCTTCTATCGTGGACACAGCGCGGTATAACAGATTACTCCCTATCACGTCCAATATGTCAAGCCGCGCGGACGACGAGGAGTCAAGCATTATATTGCAAAATAAAATGGTTCGCGTCCAACGTCCTGGTGAATATACCTATATAACAGCCACGCCGCGCTTCGCCTGATCACTGGTCCGGTGTAAAATATCGCCGGCCGGGAACATGATGCACGTATTATTGGCACTTTCGTCGAAGAATTATGTATTTTTCATATTGCTGCGTGTATTCGCCGTAGAATGCAAAATAAGACTCGGTACGCGAGTCGCTCCATTGTCGCTAACTGGCAGAGGCGAATCTCGAAGATGCGACTAAATCGAAAAGCACGCACCGGTGAATTTTAATGCAGCGCGATATTGACAGGTGTCACATGGCAAGCAAAGAGATTGAATATCTTAAACGATATGGTTTCGGTTACGCGAGGATGATCGATGTGAGCGAAGCTCTATTGTTTCTCAAGCATATTGTTACATTTACAGATAAACTTTTCGTTCCTATCTGCAAATACGAGATGTTTCACGATGGTAGAACGTTTTAGACATTAATTACATTATTATGTTATGTCATTTAAATCCTGATTATATTAGAACGTAAATAACATATATATTATTCAAAAAGTTTATCGTTTCACTTGCTACGAAATATAATTGTATTATGAGTTAATATTCACAAATACAATATTTATGCATACATAATTAATTGTTATACGATATATTTGTTGTTGTTATATTTGCGTAGACACGCGATCATTTTTTATGAAAACAATTCTTGACATAACTTCGTATAACTTTAACTTAACTTCGCGCTACGCTTTCATACGTCGCGTTATCAATCTATTTTTCTCGGCGCCGCTGTTGAACCATCTACTTTAAGAGACGTGCCAGGATTGATATAATGTTCGACGAGTGCGGAAATGAGGTCGAAGGGAATAAGGAGGTTATTGAGTTAGCGGTGTATATCGCGCTAGGAAGAACTCTCTTGGTGAAGTGTCGTGATAGTCTCGGCACATGAAATTTGAGACAGTTAAAGTTATCGTGGCCCATCTTCGCACAACGGCCCGTACATCCACACGTACGGCACATTTCAGGGTTTTGATATAAAAAGGCCATGAAACAAATTTTACGTTAAAAGAGATTCTGTTTTTGAAAGCTAATGGTACTGCAAATTGCAATTGCCGCTTATTAAAATATATATGTTTATGATCAGTGCAAAAGAAACGTAAATTTATTATTTGTTCATTTGTCGCTTTAAAGGTCACGTTGTAATTTGTGCATTCGCATTGCGCGAAATGAATCGTAAATGGAAGTAAG